GAAACATGTTAAATTGCAGCATTACATTCATTTTGACATGCAAGCAATCCACCACTATACTGCATTGTCGCTCTCCATGGCTAATACCTCGAAAAGCATGAATAACAATTCAAACGCCAAACTTGCGTTTGATTTCTTTGAGTCAATTTTGCAGTACTGTACATATGTATATAGTTTTATGGTCAAACTATACTCGTATACAGGATCGCCGAAGGCCCGGCCAGATCACAGGTAGGATGTCTTTGGCGGGCCCCCTGAATTAATATATGTTTTAGTAAATCTGGTTGTTTGGTCTCGGTCTAAGCCGGCGTGGTGTGGTCGTACTCAACCTAAATTAAATCGATGAACTAGGAGTTGTTAAGAGGCAGAAACAGAGGCTATTAACATACATGAAAACGATATATTTAGTAACGAATTTCGATTCAAAAAGATATGTATATATGGATGAAACGAGGAATACTTTTTGTATATCCGCTCCGCCTTGTCAGATTTTGTTTGGAGACAAACCGGTGTCGGCNACTACTTCAAATGATAACATACATATCCATATTACGAATAGTATCTGCAAACATATATTTAATTACATACATACAACATAAATACACAATTTTGGGTGAATTTATTGAAAGCGTTGATTTTGACACAAATATTTTATATAAGAGCGTTGTGAAGTCATTATACATACATACATATATTATTCTTCGTAAGTGCGTTATGTTTCACAAAACATTAAAAAATTACTTAGTCTTTAATCTATCATCAATTTGCGAAAGCTGCCTTCTGCGCCAAACTCGGCCTCATACGGCACTATATCACCACGCCGCAGCTGCTCAATAGTGCCATAATTTCCTTCATCTTCAAAATAGTCACGATAACTCTTTAGCAAATCCTCCATATACGATACGCATTCATGCAGATGACCATTTAAGCCACCATATTCCTCTGGTAAGCATTTTTGCGGTATATATTTGTAAAGTTCCTCCAAGGAATTAACCATAAACATCTACAGTTGAAAAAGGGAGAGTCATACATATGTCATTAAAAACATGGTTATATAGTATAATATGTCACAAGTTTGACAATAAAGAAAAACCAATCAAAAATGTAGGATATAGAGATTTTATCATCAATGGATATATGTACATATGAGGCCGTGAGAACCGAAGTGGCATAACCCAAATTTTTTTTTGTACTTACCTACTGAAAATAGTCTAAAATGTTATTAATTAAAAAAAACCGCTTATTGCTTAATTTTAAGGTACAAGGCTACATAGCGTACCATCAAATTAAAGAATAAGCGATCTTCATAGGGCTGTGTCCACATTCGCCTCGCGAAGGCTGGCCGTTTTAATAAATAGTTCTGAGGTAATTTCGTGTTGACATGATTCCATCAAGAGGATCAGGTAAGATTCTTAACCTAATACCAATTACGCTAAAATAGGCTAGATAATAATCCCTAGGCCAGAAGGATCTTGCCATGCGCCTTTATCCTAGTTTTCACCTAGCGCACAATGAGGTGGCATGAGTCCAGCCATCTAAGAGTGAACCAGAGAAGGACAGAGGTGTCTTATGAGAGAATATTTTGGCGTGGTTGAGAGGGAGGTCATATATTTCATGACCAGTTTAAAGTGCATTACCATAGCGTTTATGGCCCTGAAAGCCGACTGGTTATAAAAGTAGAAGTTCCTTTCCAAACTGCCGTCACATTCTTCAGCAGAATTCCACCGCTTTCTTAATGTCAGCTATTTCCGCCTGAAAAACATTGAACATAGTTTTGATGGAGAGCTCACGGCAGAAGACAGCTCCACCAACACTACCGCCAAGTTTTGATTCATCCGTGGAAAAGTCGCTGCTATCTTTCACCAGGCAATCACTCCAATATAAGGTAATCGATGCCAGGCGCCCCAGCTGTTTACCTAGCTAGTGTGTATTCTCTAGTGAACTCCACCAGCCAGGGGCTCCGTAAAACAAAATGGGCTTAACTATGGATTCAAATAGCCAATAAATTACTTTGGGCGAGAGCTCCCCTACATTAGTATAAGACAATCGATCACTTTCTAGCGGCTTCCTATCCAGGACCAGATACTTGGCCGACGCTGTCAAAGAGCTGCAGCTGGACACCGAAGAAGTAGCGAAGAGGCCCATCGTGGTCTTATTCTTCCTAGTTAACACTACCAGTTCTGTCTTAATGTGGTTGTGGTGGAGGACAGGTATCATTGAGTCCGATGAAAAAGTTTATTCGAAAATCTTCCCCTAACGATATGTGCCACGTAATCTGCATAGGCAATCACCCGACGACCTTTACAATCACAATCCATAGCTGGAGTGGAAGGGCCCCACCTTGCAGAGTGCCCCTATTTACTCTTTATTGTGTGCTACGACAGTTTTCAAGCGCAGTAAGCTACAAATGAGCAGTTTACTAAAAGAATTGACTACTGCCACAGAACTAACATTATTTCAGGCCCCCTCGATGCCGTATTCCTCTCACAAAATCTTTATTAGTGAAGGCTTTCTCTATTCATTTGACTAATGTTTTTAGGGCGTTATATAAGGACTGTCCTTTGCAACAGCCATGTTGAGCTCTCGAAAGACAATCACGAGGAATCCCGTTTCATATAAGCAAGTTAAACATTTTCTCCAAAATATCCTGAGATCCTTAGCATGATATCCCCTAGAGGCCTTTGGAAATAAATAAATAAATGAATAAAATTCAGTAGTGGATGGTGTACTTCTCATTACACCCATTACGAGCACGGTGCAAGCTGTTGGGCTCTGACCACCTTCTTAATGTTGGTCACTTTTTCAGGAACTTTTTTTTATACTGCGTATTAAAAATGATCGGCCTAAGTGACGCGATTTACAGTCAGCGCCAATGCCTTCGAGGTATTGAAGAAGTCTGGGGGAAGCTATCATTCACACTAGTAGTGAGATCACCCGATCCAGAGACGTACCTCTTACTGTAAATATTTTAGTTAAAGAACCACCTAATTTCGCATGTATGTATCACCCTTCAGGTTAATGGGGGATAATGAATAGTAGAGACTAATTAATGCCTAAATGTACCACATGGCGTCAAATCAGGAGCTTCACTCTTTACAGCAAAGTCGGACAATTTTTGCAATTTACGTTCACATTTCTTTGTGTACATGTATACATACATATGTGTGTCGGCAATAACTTACCGGGGGAAACGTTTCTCTTCTAATATATGAATATATTCTTAATGTGTAAAATGTATTCTAATTCTTATTTCATTTTTGCAGAATACAGTATTTCCCGGAATTTCCCAGATGCAGCGATCATGCTGCCATAATGATATCGCGTATGGGCGACTGTTGTCCTAAGCGCTATCACATGCGTGAAATAATGGCATACGATTCGATGGTTATGGAATTGATAGCCCTAGAAAATGACAATGCCGCCATTGTGGGAATTTGCCAGATCTTGGACATGACTAATATGAATGTTGAACATGCGGCGCAATTAGATAGTGGACTGTTTAGGAAATGGTGGTACTGGACGAATTATTGCTGTCCATTGCGCATAAATGTGATCTATTGCTTGAATGCACCAAAAGAAATACAAAATTGGATGACGTTAATGAAGACATTACATGC